GAGTGCTCCTTAACCACCCAACTGTCAACTCAATGCCTGGTTAGTTGGTTGATTGATTGATTAATTAATCCCTCCTGTTGCTGGGATGGACAGTTTATGAGTGTAAATTGCAAAGTTCTGAATATGTGTCTGACTCCACCAATCCCTGAGCAGGCTGACTGAGAGGTATAAATACGTGGGTGCACCTTTCCAGAACTCTCTCTCCCCTGGGGCTTCTCCCCGGAAGGAGGTCTGTCTGACAATGTGATAACAAGGCATTGGCCTCAGCATGTGCCATGTGCTGGGGGCTTTGAGGCCTAAGTTATGGATGGAATGGATTCTTTATGGAAGCTGGGCTGGAGATAGCACATTCATGCAGAGGAGTTGCTGTCTGGGCATTGTAAGAAGGATTCATGGTCCATAGATCTAGAGGGAACTAAAGTCAGTTGGTGCACTACAAGGACTGTGACTGCTCTTACAGGGTCATAGATTTGCATGGCTGACCTCTGCCAATCAGAATCTATTTTTTAGTTGTCTCTCATAGCACCTGAAGCTGTTGCTTTTATCACTGAAGATTTGTCCTCTATTGTCATGCTTTCAGGTATCCTATAACCCTAACTCTCTCTCTCCTGAGTTTTCTACCATTGAGCAGTAAATCATAAAAAGACCCTGAGACTCGAGTCTGTTCATTACAAGAAGTGTCAGTGTTGCTGGAGCTGAAAACTGGAGCAGTAACTACAAAACAGGTAGAAGGACCCCAAATTTACCATTGGCTCCTCCGGGGGTCATCGCTATATAAGAATTGAAGTGGTTTATAACTCATCAAAACTACAAATTTTGTCCTGTGATTTGTCCCTTTTATAAAGACAGTGGAACTATGTCTCTGATGCAAAGCATTTTTGTAAAGTTTGCATATACACTGTAAAAAAAAAAATAGGTTGAGGGAATAACGGAACGATGGAGTTAATAAATATTAAAGAATTAAAGGCCAAAATTTACAAAAATCTTATTTTAATTTCTGAATGAAGACTACATCTCTCCCAGACTCTCCTGGTATAGTCTGAGCTCACTTTAACAGCTTGTCATAACAAGAGCACTCCTGATATAAAGTTGGGTCAACAGTGACAGTGACAGCGGAACTCCAGTGATAACATTGGAAGAACCACTCTTCCAGCAAAATCTGAATGGCGAAGTTGTTCATGTGACAGGAGACGGCCAGGTGATGTGGAGGCAGGAGAGGCTCTTGTCTCAGAGCACCAAAGGCAGTTACTTCTCTTTCCTCTACCTTAGCCCAGCTGTGATGATGACCCTCTAGTTTGAATGCATTCTTTGTCCCTGACCTGCAGTGGCGACTCTAGGAACAATATATAGGGGGGTGCACATACGATACCACAGTCAAATCTTGGGGGGGGCACTAATAATTTTCATTTCATGTCGCAACCGCAGGGCGCCGTGAGCTGATTTTATTGCGGATGGCATCTGTGCCCTGCGGTTCCGACATGTAGTCCAACGCCGCCAACAATCCTGAATACCACAACCGTTTATTTTTTAAAACATTTTTTGTATTTTTTTTATTAAACTTAATTTTTTTATTTTTTTTACATTTTTTCCTTTTATTTATTTAACTTTATTTTTTTATTTGTTTCACTTTTTTTACATTTTTATTTATTTCACTTTATTTTTTTTACTTATTTATTTCACTTTATTTTTTTTACTATTTTTTAATCTTAGTTTATTTTCTTTTTTTAAACTTTTCTTTTTTTTTACTTAATTTCTGGGAGCAATAGCCAGCCTGCTATTGGATATTTCAAATTGCAATAGCCAATAACAGGCTGGCTACTGCACCCACCCACTGCCTGCTGTCAATCAGCAGAGGAGGCACCTGTAGCGATGCCACTGCTGACCTATAATAGGTATGCATACAATAAAAAAGGAATGATTATGTCAACGGTGTATGAATGTTCCTGGCCTGTTACACAAGTGATTAAAGCCAGAAGGTTAGCATGACAGCTAATATTTGCTAACCAACAAGGCCATTCTATCAAGAAATGATTCTTTTCGAATCAATGCTTGGACAGCTTTGTAATTTTGAGTGGTGCATGGATGGCCATGCCAATTATGAGACTTATTTCTTATCTGGAGGAAAAGTAAAGCCTGGCTCTAGGAACAAACCTGGTGGTGCCTTTAAGGACTACTGGAGTCTGGTTGCCTACCGAAGGCAGAATTTCCTTTTTGCTCTTGCTATAGACCCCCAGGAATAACAGAACTCAGCCTACTTTGAGACTTACACCATTAAAACCTTTGATTTCCTGCAAAACATATTCTTATTCTATTTTAAATCAGCCCTCTGGACTCTGATCTTCTGAACTGTAACAAAGAGATTCTTCTTTTTTAGGTTTGCATGTTCCAGGCCTCAGAGTTGATACTTGGCCCCCATCTGCCCTTGTCTGTTTGTTTAGGGCCCTCAGGGATTTTCCTTTCAATCCATCTGTCCACATTCTACCACACCCTAAAGAAATTCCAACACTGCAGATAATGAGGTATTTTTGGTAAACAATTTTAATGGAAATTGACATGTCTATTGGTGAATCCATTCTTTGGCCTTGTGGCTCTCCTTCCACGTATGCGTCCATTGCTGAACTTACCAATCAGGCGCGGCTAACATATGACTCCACGACTTATCATCAGACCTGTCAGGCTATGTTCTGTCTCATAACTCAATCATCTCAGCTGACATGGAAAGCCAAGAGCTATATGAAATGTCTCTGATGTGCTTATAGTGACAGGTCAACAGTTTTAACTGTTGATTGTATTAATTATGTTCAGTTGGATTCATTTTCTCCAACTGTGAAATGAACATGGACCCTGGATACAGTGGATCAATGGACAGTACTCTGTTGGGAACCATGTGTTTTTGAGGTCCAAGAGCAAGAGCAGACCATAATTTGGGGTTCCGGGGAAGCTACCACACTACCAGTAGGGGCCCTGCATAATAATGTGATGAGCACTCCCGTTCTAGAATAGAGACACGAATAAAGCTGAGTGTGATGCTTTCGATTTCCTATTTGATTCTCCAGGTTACATAAATGTGGACAACAATGAAAGAGAGATGCAATATTTGGCCAAACTATTGTGAACACCTTCAGGGTTATTCATTAAGCTGCCGGAGGCAGCCGAGTGAACAACCGAGCCGTAGTAAAGTGAGCCAGACAACATTCGGCTATTCACTATGGCTCAGTATGGCTGATTTCATCTGCTGCCTTCTGCTGCACTTCGGTCAGCTGAGCCAAAGTGCAGAAGGACTTCGACTCAGCTGATCCAACATCTGGATTGGCTGAGCTGAAGCGCCGACAGCTCACTCGCTGGCGTTCGCCCCCTATTCACATAGGGCCCGAACGGCAGTGGGTGAATAGCCGAATGTCGCCATGCGGCATTCGCCTGGGCTATTCTGCTTGATACCTCCGTGGTACCGAGCAGAATAGCAAATAGTGAAAAAAAATTTTAAAAAAATAAATACATTGTTTTTTAAACATGTAAATAAATAATAAATAAAAAAAATATTTTTTGAAAAAGAATAAAAAACAATTGGGCAGAACTAGCGGTGACAGCCAATGAATAACAACTGGGCGGAGCCGGCCATGACGTCACGGCCGGCTCCACCCAGTTGTTATTGTTTAATGACAGAACAGTGTCCCCGGGTCATTTAAGGACGCTGATCTGTCATTACAACTGGGCGGAGCCAGACGTGACATCACGGCTGACTCCGCCCAGCTGTCATTTCGGAAGTCACTTCAGCTCAGTTGAGCCGAAGCATATGCCTTCAGCTCGGCTGAGCCACTCGGCCACTTTTGGCAGCTGTACAGGCTATACTGCATAGCCCGTACAGCAGCCCTTCGGTTCACCTGAACCGAAGGGCTCCGGCGGCCCGAAGCTAGCTGAAGGATCAGCCGAAGCTTTGGCTGATCCTTCGGCTAGCTTTGTGAATAACCCTGCTGGTCATTACATCAAGACATATAGCCAATAGCATGTGGACACCTCATATTATTGAGTTCAGGTTTTTCCAGTGAAGGGTACTGCAAATACTACGGCATGCAAAGACTTTTTAGACAATTGTATGCTTGTGGCAACAGTTTGGGGAAGGCCCTTGCCTGTTCCATCATGACTGTACCCTTGTATACAATGCCAGGTCCATGAAGATATATTTTGGCAGGTTTGGTGTTGAGGAATATGATATGCATCTACTTTTGGCCATGTAATGTGCATCACGTAGGAGGCAAGGATCATCCCTCATGCATCCTTTTCTGAAGGAACAACTTTTTGTCTTTTGTTTACACTTTGGCAAAACAGGGCCATCCATAGACAATGGGAGAGGGAGAACCATCACAAGGAGCCAATCACTTCTGCTGCAGTGTCCATGTGCTAGCAAGGGACATGCTAATAGGAGGACAAAGCAGAGTGACAGAGAGATGAGCTAATCAATCTTCTGCTTCTCCTTTCACTGCTCACTCATAGGCTGGTATTTGGAAGTAGAAAGAAAGGTCTAAACCTGTGTGGTTATTCTGTCGGTGTTTCTCATCCAATAGTGGTAAAGTGATGTTGAATATGTGTGATCCGGCTAACGTGTAGGCAGCTTACACAAGCCAAAGGATCTCCACAGTATCCTCAGCTTGACAATGAACACAGGAGGTGTAGAAACTGAAGCTCAGCAGCAATTAAAATAGTCAAGATACAACTTTTTTCCGTTATGGTCAGGGGCATTCAAGTAGAGTGGCCAATGCATTTCGGGGGTCCATCAGGGCTTGAAGAAGAACTCCATGTATGCAAAAAGTTAACCCTTGCAGCGGGTATACAAACACACTACAAGGGTTAACTTTGGGTTTTTCTCCAGGGCCATAAGAAGATAAACTCAACCGATCCTCGTTCCTGCAGCAGTGAGTGCTCACCTCTTGCTCCGCTCCCACTGCGGTATGTCCCTCAGCATCCTCACATCTAATGCAGGTGAATGGACTGCATGAGCCGTGATGACGCCAGTGGGGCTTAGACTACCGGAGCCCGGGGAGAAGAGGTGTGGGGATCGAGGATCGGGTGCATATTTTTTTTTATTTGAGCACCTAGAGAAAAATAAGCAGTTAAGCCCCACTGCAAGGGCTCACATTTTACATTCCTGGAGTTCCTCTTTAATGAGAGAAATCATGTATGTGGACTACAATCCCTGCAGCTTTGAAGTTGTGATGGAAGCAGCAGAGAAAAATCAAGTCTTCTCCCTTATCTAACATTGCTCTGCTGTGTGGCACAACTCAATAAATACCAAGAGCTTTTTTGTTGTTGTCTCTTGGCGTTAATGGTTGCTGTTAGGGATGCACCAATAGCAATATTAGTATCGGTATCAGTGCCGACACAGAGTAAAAAAGAGAGATCAAGATGAAACGATGATAAAAACAGGTTCATAAACATAAAAATAAAAAATAAATAATAATGATAATTTAAAAAATAAATAAATATATACACTGAGTGGCCAGATTATTATGACCACCTGACGTTTGTAGACTAATGAGCTATAATTAGGGGCTGAAGTTGCTAGAGGGCCAGACCATTATAAATAGGGAAGCAGGTTGGTTACCACGACAGTAGAAGTGATTTGTTTCTGAAGATACGGGGAAACAACGCGATGTAACAGCCTTTGAACGAGAATTTAGTGGTCCATGAGGTCCCAAAGGTTGGCGACCGCTGTTCTATATAGCTCAATAAATGTCGTGACTGGATGGACAGAAATGCAAACCCTTTCATCTGTCTTTTTTAGCTGTTTGCCGTGATTAAAAGGCGTCCATGTAGCTCTTCCTGTTCCTTTATCTCAGTGATAGTCTGTCAGTCTGCTGAGACCAATTTTCACTGCATATATAACACTTAGATTTCCTGATCGCACTTTGTATCACACCCATTAAATTTCCCCTGCTTTACTTCCTTATAAATACATTTTAAAGGCTGTAATTTTATTTATATTAAATATCACAGACTCATATGTCTTTTTTTTTTTTCTTCCCAGTTAAAACTCATTTTTTTCCAATATATGTTTCCACATCTGTTGTATAATTGATTTAATCCCCAACCAAAGGAATGTTGGAGTCTTATGCTGGACTTTAAATAAATCCCCCAAAGGCATACTCTGTCCTACTTCTCTTTCCCTCTCTCTCTCTCTCTGCTGCAATATCTGTTTGGAACATGGTCATGTTAATAAAAGTGTAAACATTGTTGAGATTAAGGAAGTCATAATCATTTTTACTGTCAGGCCGGTCAAAACCAACACGGACTTATTAGCTGAGTGAATTAGAACGCATGGAAGATATACAATCCCCTCTCCATCTTCCCGTCAACGAGTAATTAGTCATTTCTATTAGAAAAATAAATTATTTCAACCCAAACCCTCCCTTTCATTTTTTTTTTGCTGTATTGCGTACAAAAAGGCTTCTGAATTAATATAAATTTGACACGTTGAAAGCATTAGCCAAGCTTTCGTCAGTCATATATTAAAATATATTATTTTAGCCTTTCCTATGCAGCTTATGAGTTTATTATTTTGTTGTGATGAGATAAGTGAACAGGAATTGCCGGGTTTGACATGCGATGGCTTTTTGGATGTACATTTTTTTATTATTTTGATATTTATAAAAAAAGTTCCAAAATGATTCCATTTGCAAACATTATTTTAAAGCTCATATAAAGCTCAATATTTTAAAGCTCATTTTGATTATACAAATTATGTGAGTCTGTATTCACTAGTACACTATATTATTATTATATTTATTTTCATTTATTTTTAAGCAGAGTAAGTACCTGGATCTGATCTGACTTGGTATTGGCCTCATGTAGTCCGCTGTACACCAACATTTAGAGAGTAGGAGGGGGAATCAGCACAAGGTGCCTATCAGGTGTGCTGCATTGTAAGGAGCAAGCTGATAGAAGGAGATAGCAGAGTGACAGACAGATAAGGCCATCAGCCTGCTACTTCTTCTTGTTCTATTAAAGTGAATCTAAACTCAGAAGTTATAGCTTAAACAGGCATTCAAATACCTTAAAGCGGACCTTTACACTCAAAAATCAAATTCTACGAATGCATCCCTCTATGTATGATGATTAATAATAACATAGACATGTCAGGTGTAAAATGCTGTGATTGTGAAATACTGACACTTGCAGAGCATTCACTTCCTGCTTTGAAAGGGCAAAATGACTTCAGTTTGCCAAAGCAATGCACACTTTGTCATCAGAAGAGCATTGCTGGGAAATCTCATCTGTAATCTCACAAGATCTCAGGGAAAGGCATGTTCCTTCCCTGAGATGATGTGCATGGTCACATGTCTAGTCACATGTCCTAGTCATGTGCCAGAAATCCAGGAAGTAAAAGGAGAGCTAGTAACCTGCCCTTAGTAAACCTGGCCACTGTCAGAAGACTGGGAAAGAAGAGAGAAATAAGATATGCAAAGAATACAAAGCCGGCAATTATCTAGATGTATGTGTGTGTAGATTGCCATTACTAAACATTTCTAAAGGTGTGTTTGTTGTTATTTTAAAGATCTGGGTAAGGTCCACTTTAACTATTAACAAAAATGTATCTTATTTGTTTATCACTCGGCTGTAGATCCTCCAATCATCTCTGAATTTGTGCTGACACGGTCCTTCCTTCTGGAGGGGGGCTACTTTTGTTCCCCATGGTCCCTGTGTGTGTTGTAAAGTAGACACCGCTCCAAGCTCGCTCCCGGGATGGACTATAATGTCATGTTTAGTTTACTAATGGTACTGAGATTGTAGTCCGTCACGGGAGTGAGGTTAGAGCGGTGACTACTTTACAACACACACAGGGACCATGGGGAACAAAAGTAGCCCCCCTCCAGAAGGAAGGACAGTGTCAGCACCAATTCAGAGATGATTGGAGGATCTACAGCCGAGTGATACACAAATAAGGTAAACACATAGACATTGATTCTCTTGTTGGTCTTTTTGCTTTCTCTCCTGGCCTGTGCCATTGTTTCAACTGTACAAAAAAGGCATTTTCCCATCAATTGCACTTGTTTATTGACTGCATCAATGCTTAATGACTTGCTTTGGTTATTTTATACATGTTCGGACAAACCTGGGGTCTGCGACTTGGGTGTGTCATGCAGTTATATCAATAACCTATTTATGTGTTAATGGTGAAGGCAAGACTCAGAGTCTGCAGCTCTGGTCACATCAAGCCAAGTCAAACCATAATATACCATGAAAATGTGCCACTTCCTTTTAGGGCTACAAGGTTGTAGGAGGAAGGGTCCAGCACTTGGGAACAGAGGCCAGAAATAGCATAGGGATACATTGGGAGTCATTTTGGGTCCAGAAACGGTCTGGTCTGGTCTGGAGGTAATCTGGATGTGGTGCGAATGGGCCCTAGACTAGAAGAAAAAAAGGTTGGTCACCAGTATGAAGAGATGGATGTTTGGATGGAATTTTTTTACCCAAAGAGGCTTTAATATCAATAAGAACATTTGAGTGTTGGCTAAATCCATCTCTTATTAGAAATTTGAGCTCCAGCTATAATTAGGAGGATTTATGATTGGAGTGATTAATCAGGGTGCCGTTTGTCTCCAATGTAACAAGGAGTTAGCAGGGGCTCATGGGGGATTTGTTTTGAAAAAAAGAAACATGATATCAAGACCATCATTCGCTCATGTAAAAAAGATTGCACATTTAGTGAAACAATCCCATTATCAGATGTCATCAGAAAAATCAATCTGTGACTGGAATGTGTTTGCTTTATTTCCATGATCAGATGAACAACAATTAGGCAATATACATGGACATCTTTATGATGGTTTTTGTTGAAGTTTTGTTAGAAGGTTACAGTCATAATAATCATGTAACAATACACGTGTACAACATATGTCTGGTGAACGTACGGCATTGATCAGTTAAGGCTTTCAAATGAGGCATAGGTGTATGTTTAAAGGAGAACCATGGCGTTAGGGCTTTTCCCCATAGTTCTCCTTAGGGTAACGGGAGGACACAAACTAGCGTCCTCCCGTCACCCTAAGCTCAGTATACCGCGAGCTACGGCTCGCGGTATACTGAGACGCCGCAGTATACCGCGAGCTACAGCTCGCGGTATACTGAGACACCGCAGCTGAAGTGGATACCGACAATTATGTCTGGATCCGCCCAGCTGCGTAAGTGACAGCTGGCTCTGCCTATCTAGAGGCAGAGCCAGCTGTACCCGCCCCGTCCATTCCGCCAGTCAGCGCTGGAGGATCGGAGCGGGGAGGGGGGAATCCAGCCCCTCCCTTGTCACGGCAGAGAGCCGTGACAGGATCGAGAAGTAAACGAACGCCGGTATGTGTTCGCTCACCTCCCGATCTACTGAGCCGACCTGTGACAGTCTCATTGTCACAGGTCGGCTAGAACTATGAGGCTGAGTGAAAAGCACTCACCTCATAGTTCTCCTTTAATCACTTAGCATTCTACAAGGCTTAATGGAAAGAACATGGGTTGGGGGGTTGAAACCCTTGTGTGGTTCCATGACCTTGGCGGTATAATGGAATAGGTCTGTGAAGGTTCTCATTCATTCAGGTCATGGTATATCTGTCAAAAATAAGTCAAGGTAACTGGACTTGCTGTATTTTTCTTGAAGACGTTTCACAGGTCATCCAACCTGCTTATTAATTCAGAATGAGTTGTACAAAAATTATCTGGGAATAAATATGGTGAATGTTGCTCCAATCCACATAATCTGTTAGTCACAACCAGGTGTTGGAGTCTAGGAGGTGTTATTAACCTGCCCAGAGAGAGGTGTTAAAACAGCATTGTTGTTGCTGGTTGCGACTAACAGATTATGTGGATTGGAGCAACATTCACCATATTTATTCCCAGATAATTTTTGTACAACTCATTCTGAATTAATAAGCAGGTTGGATGACCTGTGAAACGTCTTCAAGAAAAATACAGCAAGTCGAGTGGCCTTGACTTATTTTTTTTACAGATATACTGAATTAAGGAAGCCTGGGGCAGGGAATGGTTGTAGGTTGGTTATGGAGGGTATGTGGAAACAGAGTTGGGGGGGAGTTAAGAGCTAGGTTCAAAAGATGTGAGAAAAAAGCGTCAAGCAGGGGGTTGAGGAAGATGCAGGGTAGGAGAAGTCTATTTTAGACTGCTCTGCTTTGCCCCGGTGCCTGATATCCTGCACTGCAGATATGAAAATGGCAGCATTTTATCAAAGGGGGGTATGGAGGCAGAGTGAGGGGGGGTTAAGACATAGGTGAGAAGAAAGAGGGTGAAGAAAAGAGAAAAAAGATGTAGGGTAGGTGAGGGGGGACATAGGGGCAGTACACTGGGGTCCAGCTTTCTGACCAGCTGAAGGTCAGGCATTTTATAAAGAGTGGTCAAAAGTTGCAGCAGACGGTGTGTGACCCAGGGGTCCCAAATGTTATGGAAGTTGGGCAGTCTTTCACATTGAATTATGTTTTTTTTTTAACCTGGAAGCATTGTTTCAATTTTTAGAAGTGAAAAGGGGTTTGAGCAGGCTGACACAGTCAGCCTTTTTTTTTTGGCTTGGTGACCAATGTCTCTGGGACTCAAATGAGGGAAAATCTAAAATGCTCAGTTGTCACCGGAAGAGGAATAGAGAGTAAATCTTCCAATCGGGAACTTATTCTGCTGACAACTCTCTAATTGGGCATCTTCCCTACTTTGCAGAGTTTTCCTATCACGTCCTGTTGTGTCTATAGGGCAGGAAGCATGAGGAAATCTCTCCCTGCCCAGTTCACCTCTATGGGCTATAGTCCTAAATCCTAACACACTTCCTATCCTTGGGCAACAATGATGATCCTCTGTAGATACAGTATGATGAGTGAGTGTTGTCACCCTAGGACAGGAAGTGTGCTATTGGCAGGACCACCAGGGGAAAAGAAAGGCCTAAAGCCTGAAAAAAGAAAAAAACTTATGCAGCCACCACATCTAAGGACTGGTAAGCCACAATAAATAAATTTTTTGCTCTAGGGTTTAGATATGCTTTAGGGTCTGGGGAGCTGGCAGTATACTGTATATGGGCCTTTAATAGACATCATATGTCACTTTTGTGGTGGCATTCAATTATACATGATGTTGATTTGTTCAGATTCAGGCTGCTAATGGAAGGAGGCATGCCATGGTAGAGGTCCTGCACACCCCAGAACAAATAAATTGACGCATGGTCCACATTTAATTCTTTATTAAAACAACAGGAAATAAGCCAATGTGTTTTAGGGGACTTAGAGACCTCCTAATTCAGATTAGCATTGGGGGTGGACCATTGGGCTAGGATACGAGATTGAGCCATTGGATATATGACACTCTGTGTCACCCCTAAGAAGGGGGCCTCCAAGTCCCCTAAAACATGTTGGCTTGATTGTAATGGTATTTTAATAAATATAGGAACTGAATTTGATCCACAGCTCCTCTGAATTATTATTTATTTATTTCTAGTATTTATATAGTGCTGACAATTTATGCAGCACTTTACATAGTTGCACATTCACACCAGTCCCTACCCTTTAAGGAGCTTACGATCTAAGGCCTCTATCTCACATGCATACATAGAGGGCCAACTTAGAGAGAAGCCAATGAACCTACCAGCGTGTCTTTGGAGTGTGGGAGGAAACCCACACGCACAGGGAGAACATGCAAACTCCTTGCTGATAGTGACCTGGCTGTGACTCAAACCGGGGACCCCCACTGCTGCCAGGCAGAAGTGCTAACCACTACTCCACTGTGCTGCCTGTGCAGTGAATTCTTATTTGTTGGTGCTCCCACAAGGCAATATATTGTCTCTTGAACTTGGTGGACTTTGGTCATTATTTATTCTTATTCACTATGTTTTCTCTTTTCCAGGCACCCCGGAAGGGCCTTTGGAAAGGGGGCACAGAATGCACGTATTCCTCCGCGCGTCAGAAGGAGTTCAATGCGATCGACTGAGCGGCCTAAGTGTGTCCCCTGGCGTTATCGGTAATAGAAGACAAATATTCCACTCTTAATAGACAGTGCAGATGACAAAGCCAATATGGTGGAGCTCAAAGCCAAAATTACTGCGAAATAGATGTTTCCTGAGTCTATTATATCCGTCTGCATAGCCTTCTCTGAGCTCTTTTCATGACAGGATGAAACACATTTGAAAACCTGTGCTCATGTTTTATTTAATTTTTTTTCTTATTGTATCTAGTGGAGTTGTGTCATTTGCATAATTATTGCATTAGGAAGCAAATGGGAGATTGGCTGAAACTAGCCCTTAAGCACTTACTCTATTTTAGACTGCTCTGCTTTGCCCCGGTGCCTGGTTTCCTGCACTGCGGATATGCAAATAGCAGCATAATATCAGTTGCACATGTTTGCTTAAAGGGGCACTAAGCCCCACGAAATGCGCGGGCCCGTATATTATTCATAGGAAGAGCGCTACCTTGATTGACATAGAAGTTTTTGCCAGCAAAGCTTTTTGTTCGGAGTGAAAACAATGCGTTTGTACTTTGATTCCACACATTCAAAGTTATGATCGATTTCAAAGAGAACCTGTCTTGATTGGGTTTGTGCAAGAATGAATGTTCACTATTATTTTATTATAATCGTGAATCGTTTCATGCTAATGATTCTGGTCTGTCCCCTAAATTTGCTTTACTTTTTTGTAAGTCTGACACTATGGGGTCTATTCACTAAGCTGCCGTAGGCAGCCAAGTGACTAACCGACCCGAAGCGAAGTGAGCCTAACGCTGTCCGGCTATTCACTTCAGGCTGGTACGGCTGATTCCAGCCGTATATCGGCTGAAATCAGCCGTACATCGGCCCAGCAGTCAGTAGCAGGCTTTCGGCCGGCCCACGGCCGGCAATTCGGCCAGCTTCGGCTTTCACCTTGGCTCAGTCGAGCCGAAGCATATGCCTTCGGCTCGACTGAGCCGCTCGGCCACAATCGGGAGCTGTACGGGCTATAGTGAATTGCCCGTACAGCAGCCCTTCGGTTCTACTGAACCGAAGGGGTACTGGGGCCGAAGCTAGCCGAAGGATCAACCGAAGCTACGGCTAGATCCTTCGGCAGCTTAGTGAATAGACCCCTATAACTTGAGTTAGAGGTTGCCTCAGGTTTGATCGTTGATGCCAAGAACTTAAATGTATTTTGCCAGCATAAGGTGAGGCTGTTAATGAAGCTGGCAGATCTCTGGTTACATAGTCAGGTTGAAAAAAGACACAAGTCCATTGAGTTCAACCTGGTGACCTATGACCCCTGACACTCAAGCTGGAGTGTCGGATTCCATAAAAATGGATAAGGGTAAAATGTGTCTGCAAATTTATAATTTTATATATCATTTTATAATCAAAGTCTTCAGATTCTTATATAACCCAGTGGTCCCCACAATCAATACCCCCCTCTAGATAATCGCCCCTAGTAATGTAATATAAGAGGAGAAAAAAATCTAAATGGCCCAAATACTTAACTGAATCTGTAGTCACATGACATTTGAGGGATCCCGAATATTCCCTCTTTTGGACTTCTTATTGGGACAGTCCATCTTCAGGTGTCTACTTTGCTGCCTGGTGACATGGACTCTTCCCATTGAGTCCATCAGCTGGGTCCTCATGGGGACCTGAAGACACCAGCTGTTGTGTGATGATATCATGATGAAGGGTGGTGACAAGACCCCTCAGAGGTCACTCCTAGAAGAGGCACAGTAAGGGGTGAAGGGTCACATGAAAGTGCATTTAGGTAAGTTGAGAGCAGGGTGGCTGAGAGGTTTGGGGGTATTCCAATGTTTTCTTAGAGATGGGCTAGGAGTAAAATGTGGATATTGGACTGCAGCATACCTAGAATCTTGCATCTGGATATAATTCTAGGACAATTTGTAAAGTTAGAGCGAACCTGAAATGAGATTCAAGTAAACTTGTCATAGGATACATATGGAGGCTGCTATTGCTGGCCTCTATTTAGTGAAAGGATAGGCAACCTTAGCATTCCAGCTGTTGGAAGACTACAAGTCCCATGAGGCATTGCAAGACTCTGATGGCCACAGACATGATGGGACTAATAGTTTCACAGCAATTGGAGAGTCGAGGTTGCCTACCTTTGCCCTAGTGGCTTGGCTGTTTTTGGCTGTTCACTGACTCAAAACAAGTATGCAGGTCATGAAACTCAAAGAAAAGTCAGTTATCTGCATCCTTGTCTGGGTCATTGACTCATTGGCTATTGTTATTTTCAGAAGGAGGTTATAGATAAATAGTGAAACAAGATGATTGATGACAAATACCTTTTTATCTACATGAGTGTCCTGGTACATTCAGTGGGCTAATGGTGGCTTTCAGCTTCAGGTAGACCACGAACATCCCCCAACCCCCCACCACCACATCTCTCAGTCCAATGCGCTTGAGCTAGATGACCAGTAGGGAGGCGTTCACTGCCAGGTAAGGGATGGGCACCCTTAACAAACCTCCTTTCACATTGATTGCAATGCATTTCACCATAATGGCAACATTTTACCAAAATTTGGGGTAATTGGCAAATTAAAGCCTAACTCATACCTAGTAGGGAATCCTAAAGCACTCATGAAGATGATTAAAGGTGTCATAAGCAAGATTTGTGCCTGTGTTATATTCATTAGATCATCTTTATTGTTTTAATTGCATTGCGGGTTCAATTTCGAAAACATTACAGATTTTATCCCGCAGACAAATTTGGACAAAGCTTCATAGCACAATTGGTTCTCATTCCATTAATCCCATTTCTTTAGATACTGCTGTGTATCATACTGTTACTTATCCTTCAGCTTATTTACTAATGAGAAGCAGAAATGCCCTTCGCTGGCTTCAGCTAAAATACAATAGAAAAATAAGTTTGCTAAAGGTACAAATTATCCAAGGAAACTGGGGATTAATGTAATATTCAAATAATGGATACATGCCAATGTAGATGAAGAAAATATAACGTCAACCATTTGCAGATGTACCGTACATTTCCCATGAATGTTGTGCCTGCTCTGTGCTTGAGGCTGGCGGTTGCCTCGCTATACTGAAAAATAAGAGAAAAGGTTACATGGTCAAAAACAGTATATTTCATTTGGTAGAGGCCTAGTTCCATACAAAGGTCACCACATTTGTGCACAAGAATTACTGATTCCCAATAAACTTCTGGGGCCAGTTTAAAGTTTGCTAAAGTTACTTTAAAAATCCACCCGACTTGGCATGGTTCCACTGTTACCAATGCTGCATTCTCCATCTACATACTTGGCGCCCACTCTGTGGCCCTAGGAGCACATGCCATCCTTTGGCACTTGTTGCACAGCTCCTACTGCATTTACGCACTCCCTGCTTTCTGTGGGTTTACAGCCTATAAATATTAGGTGCAAGCCTTTAGTGATGTCAGGAGCCACACTTGAGGGCCACTATAGCAAGAAAGTTGACCACTATTGATCTACTTGACCAGCCTGAACTAAGCTGGTGTGGGTGTGTGCAGGGGCTTAACTACGAATTATGGGACCCTATAGCAAAACTTTGATGGAGCCCCTTGGCTAACTCTCTTTAGTAGCTTGCTGTGTTAACTGTGGCAGTATATGTCAATGGCATGCATCAAGGACTTGCACCAGAGCTCTGTCATTATAGTCATTACACTACAGGAGGCCAGATATCAGCTGTTCTATAAGGTTTTAGCTGAGGAGAAACTTTGGGATTTGTGACTGCACTAGGCATATGGGGTTCATTTCAGTCTGTAGCAGGGCAATACACCTACACTGCTAAGATGGCTAAGAAAATGCTTCTTATTGTACAAAGGGGATCTGTGACTAGCAACAAGGTCCGGATTCAACCTTTCTATACTGGAAACTTCAGAGTTTAGTTTTCTTTAACACACCCTTAATAGGGCTTCCCCCTATCCCTGGTCCCATAGCGGCCGCATGGGCTGCTATGCCTTTTGTTACGCCACCGGGTGGGTGATTTATGCAACAGTGGTGTGTTGCAGAGAATAGAGAAAGATGCGAGTAATATTTTTACAAACTCTTTATAGATTCCCCCAGACCCCACAGCATCTGCATGGTTTGCTGTAACTATAGGTAAGCCCTTTGGTGTATGGTGAAAGAATGCATGTAAGCATTTAAGATATTTGACTTGTCTGTGCTTTTTCCTGCTATTGTTAAAGTTGGTGACAGGGTCTCTTTAATACTGATGTCAGGCCATTTATTGTCATATATTATCAACAGCTGTTTTCCTGCTTAAACTATTATCTTTGTTTTGCTTACTGCAGAAGTTTATGGAAAGTTACAGATTCATAGTGCTTATCCCAGCAAACCGTGGACACGTCTCGGGGCTGACATTGCGTCTGGAAATGAAATGTAGGTTATCTGGAAGAAAGTCTAAACACAGCATATTTGAGTATTATCTCTATACCTGAGACAACTCCAGTGCCATTGTCAGATATTGTCTGAATGTGCAGAGGGAAAAGCAAAAGCCAAATTGTTGGTGACCAGTAAGAATGTACTACACACAAACTAAATGATCATCGGTACTGCATGACGAGTCCTAATACTAAAGTTCTTTATTTATAGTACTATCATCTTATAGTGTTGCTACAAATGATTAGAAGTAATATTGATCCATCAAAAATATTTTGGTGTATCTGTAAATACATTGATGTATAGAGCAAAATATACCCAACAAAAACAAGGTAGGTTAGGCGTGAGCAGGGCCGTCCCTATAATGAAGCAGTCTAAAACTGTTGCCTCAGACAGCATCACTTTTGGTCAAGAAGGGGGCAGCAGGCAGAGTGGCATGGCTACTCTGCTGCACAATGTTTGCAGTGTGGCTGCTGCCCCCTTTATGGCCAGAACGTTCCAGGTTGCTAAGAACAGGGCGGGGAGATGTGTATGCGCCATATACATCTCCCCACCCAGCTCTTAGCAACCTGGGATTCTCTGGCTGGCATCCCACCCAGCTCCTGGTAACCAGTGACATCACTGGCCACCAGGAGCTGGGCTGGACACTGGCCAGAGCCAGAGCTGCACGAGGAGATGATTCAGAGTCTCCCCAACCCATCAGCTCACCACCCCTTTAGCATGCACCACCAACACCCCCCCCCTTCCCACCTTGGGAGGTGAAAAGGCTAGTGGCATTCCTGGGCTGAGTCCACCTCTGTGAGATGACAAGTTAGATGGATAAAAGTTAGGAGTATTAGGCTTAAATTGACCGTGGGAGCCTTGTTGGATGGTGGAGGAGGGAGCCTTGTTGGATGGTGGAGGAGGGAGCCTTGTTGGATGGTGGAGGAGGGAGCATTGTTGGATGGTGGAGGAGGGAGCCTTGTTGGATGGTGGAGGAGGGAGCCTTGTTGGATGGTGGAGGAGGGAGCCTTGTTGGATGGTGGAGGAGGGAGCATTGTTGCAAACACTGTATCCAGCTTTTGACATGTTCCGCTATTAGCATAGCAGGAAAGCTGTGGTCTCAGGGGGGCTTAGCAGGATTTGTGGTGAGCTCTGCGGGGTCTATGGTGGGCAGAGCCCATCACAGATACTGCACAGGCCCGACACCCTGCAAAGCCCCCCACAGATCCTGCACAGCCCCCTGGAGGCCCTGCAGTAATCTTTGGTGGGCTGTGCATAATCTATGGTGGGCCCTGCTCCTACCTTACACAGGAAGCCCAGCCTTCAATGCTGCCTCGGCGCCAAATCGTCTCAGCTTCGCCGCTCGACTGGCCCCTTGGCGGCGCCTCCTCCATCGCTGTCTCTGCCTTTGCCTCCTCGGTCTTCACAGGCCTCTTCCATCTCCCCCTGTCTCATGCCGCTCCATCCCCGTCTCCTCACGTCCTCTTTCATCTCCGCCTAAATCTACCTCTGTCTCCGGCCCTGTCTCATGCCGCTCAGTCCCCGTCTCCTCCCGTCCTCCATCTCCGCCCCCATCTCCCTCTGTCTCCACCCCCTGCCGCTTCGTCCCCCTTCTCCTCCTACTCCTGCTGATTTCTCCGCCTTCCAAATGTCGGCTGCCTTAATGTTTTGGGGCCTGAACGTGGGCTCGCGTGCCAGCAGAAAGGGCCCCGCGTGCCCTCCCTGGCACACGTGCCATAGGTTCGCCACCACTGATCTAGGACAACACAGCTGAACTGGAAAGTGAGCTGAATTGGAGAATGTTTCCAAATCAGCTATTTTGTCCTAGATTGTTCCCTTCTCCTTCCTTTTTCAAACTTTCCCCCCTTTTGTGAATAACCCTGTAAATCTTGATTCAAACAGTGCCTACAGATAAAGGTTATACACAAGGATGAGCAACACATAAGAATGACATGGTGTATTCATTTTTATCATCTAACATAACAAACATGTCATATGGAAATAGTAGCTTTGTCATGTAGAAAAAAGTAAGTACACCCCTACATTTACCATCACTTCAAAGCCATGAAACTATAATTGGGTGTTTCAGATTGGTGACAATGAGTAGAACCTTCAAAGGGAGTATGCAGGTGGAACCTGTTTTATTTGAATTTCAGACATCGAGGCTTTGTTGCTCTCTTTGCTGTTGGCATGTGTGGTGCCATCATGACGGGATCAATAAAGCTCTCCAAGTTGTGGATGTCTATGAATCTTACAAGGGGATTAAAGAGATGGCAAATCATTTGAAATCTGTCCACTGTTAGGAAAATAATCCACAAGTGGCATAGATTTCAAACAACTGTTTATTTGTCCAGGTCTGGCCAGCCCAGCAAATTCATCCCAAGAGCTCACAATGTGACACTAAAAGAAGTCTCCAAAAATGTCACCGGGCGGTGTTCAGGTAACTCTTGCAACTGTTGGGATCAAAGTGCATGCATTTATAGTCAGAAAGATGATTGCACCAGTGTAACCTGCATAAATGGTGTGTGAACAGCCTTTCCTGTCCAAACAAAAACAAAAGGAGCTACACTAGTTTTTCAAAGATGAAGCTGATTGGTCGCAGAAGACATGTGTGCCGCAAACTGAAGACAGCCTCATAAAAACTGTGAATCATGATGATAAAATGTCATGTTTTGGAGTTGCTTTGTTGCTTCAGAGCCTGGGCGGCTTGCAGTCATCAAGTCAGCTATGAATTCTGCATTATGTCAAGGTGTATTTGATGAAAATGTGAGGTCATTAGTCTAAATGTTGAAGTTGAAACAGAACTGGGTCTTTCAAAATGATTATGATCCAAAGCACACACGAAAATCCACCAAAGAAAGCCTCAATAAGGAACTCAATGTACATCTCAGTTGCCCCTCTTTTTGGTCTGATGTGCAGATATGTATGGAAAAGTTCTGTTTCATTATCAGTAGAAAACAGGAATCACCAGCACTCAATAAGTAGTTTTCAAATAGTAAACGTCCATTTAATCGGACACAACGTCACAAACGAAAGAACCAACGTTTCGGGACCGCACAAGGTCCCTTCATCAGGGTGATAATGTGACACATTATTAGGTCATATAATAATGCCAGGAATGGGTCCTGGATGGACGATATATCCCTCCCTTTTTTAGGTGGTGGTCCCGTTAAGGTCACCTTGTTTTCAGGGTTCTCACCACACATTATTAGGTCACATTATCACCCTGATGAAGGGACCCTGTGTGGTCCCGAAACGTTGGTTTTTCCGTTTGTGACGCATTGGATTGTCTTAATTAAAGAAGAGCTTAATCCCATCACTGTAAACAATGGCCGCTCCAGACAGCCTGCTGCCTTTACTGAACACAGTGGTGTGTGTCTGTAATGTCGGGGGAAACATGCAGTATACCCATTCCGCACATATCGTAGGAGAATGGTTCCATGTAACCCCAAGAGGTCTGAGGGGGGTCTCCATAGTTCTGGGTCCATAGCCCGTAGGAAGGAGGCTAGCCCTCAGGCTCCTCCAGCAGCCCCAGTGACGGTTCAGTCCGTCACAAAAACTACTTATTGAGTGCTTGTGATTCCTGTTTTCTACTGTTGATGTGCACGGCGCCATCCGTGATTGTCACTGCAAGCACCATCATTGCAATTTGTGCCGGGAACGCTGTAAGGAGTGCAGAGGGACTTTCTATTCTCTATTTCATTATCTTGCTAATTGTTATTCTTAATGTTCCCCATACCAGGGGGCATGGCAGAGGTGTGTCCATAGCCTAAATACATTGTGCTGGAAGGTGTCCCCCTTTTATCATCTCAGACATTTGGGGGGTTTGATGTAAGGGTATCTTGTACTATGCAAACAGCGACTTGTAGAAAGTCAATATATGCATGAGTACTACAAGTAGGGTATCTGAGACAGTTCTATGCAAAGGATTAGGATAAGAAGTTGGATTTCTTTAACAGCTGGTATGTTCTGCACTTTATGATGCATTGATGGTTAATCATGAGAAAGGGTGCACTTTAAGCATCTCTGCTCTGTGGTGAATAAACCAATTTCAGTTAGACTTTTCTCACAACTGAGGTCCTTCATGGCTTAATTTACTCTGTAAGCTCTTCTCAGAATTCTAGATCCTGTTCTTAACTCTCTTGCACCATTCTACACACCTACAGTACATGTGCACCTTACTCTTCTGACATTGTGATGTATGCTGTTTTGTAGGATGACATTGAACGACACCGTAGACTGGCAACCAGGAGATAAAATAGTAGTTAGCTCTACCTCATATGAAGCTCATCAAGCTGAAGTTGTCCATCTTAGAGACGTATACGGTTACATTGTTCGAATCTGGGGGCGACTTAACTACCGACATACTGGTAAGTGCTGATACAACAATTTTAATTCATTGAAAGAAAAATTTCTTAGCAGTTTTGTTCAGGTTTGAACCAAAATCTAAACCAGCATTTCTCTGCCATGAGCCCCTAGGATTCATCCAGGTGTTGCTAGGGGTTCTTTGGGCAATGAACAATTTCTACCTCTCAGATATATAACCGCTGCTGCCACAAATGATCTTTTTAGCTATCTGTAAGGGGGTATGTTTACCATTGACCTCCAGTGTCAATTCTTCCCACCGACTATCACACTGATGGGATTCACTGAGACAAGAACGTTACTTTAAAAGGTTCTCCATGTTAAAAGGGCCAAAAGAGTCTCCTCTGACAAAAGCTGGCCATCCATTGGTGACAGGATCAAAACATTGATTCTATTTGTTGTCAAAATCGCAGAGCAATTGAAGGCGGCCGAAACAGTCAGCAGCAGTCCCTTTCTTCAAGGAGCTTACAATCTAGGTGTCCCTAGAGGTTGCACCGCCTCATGCTGTGGCTAGACACGTGCGATTCATTTCGTTCCGAATCAAAATTTCGGACAAATTTTCAGAAATTCAGAAATTCGGATACATCCGAATATCCGAATCCCAAATGCCTCCAAATGTGTCCGAATCTGAATTTCCGTTTACAAATTTCGGATCCCGTCCGAATTTCGTTCAAAAACTAAACTGAATCGGACATGTGACTTTTCTGGCCAATCAGAGTTGTTTTTCGATTTAATGCATCCGAATGGGCCTGAACACGAATTTTAGTTACGGCAACATGGGAGCCATATACAGTATATACCTATAATACTAACGCTGAGGCTCCCAGACCTGAATGGCATTCGGGATCCGAATTTCCGAATTGAATTGGGGAGCTCCCGAATGCCATTCAGGTCTGGGAGCCATATACATATATTACTAAAGCTGAGGCTCCCAGACCCGAATGGTATTACGGCAACATGGGAGCCATACACAGTATATACCTATAATACTAAAGCTGAGGCTCCTATACCTCATTGTTTGATGGACTGCATGCATTAGTAGTTCACTGATTGCTTTCACCTATTACCTGGATTTGCTCTTTAAGCTGTGATAACAGTCCATGCTTATCATAAAAGATTGGTATGTGTTCCCTTATATACGTTTACTTGCTTTATATCTCTGGCTTCAGAGCTGTCCTGTGTCCTCTGCACATACAGTATCTTTTGTTAAGAGCTGTGCAAGTTATTATCTTGGATTACAGAATGTTTATTCTTTATGTTGCGGAGATCTAAGAGTTTAGGTTTAGTAGTTTAGCAAAAGACACTGGGCAGGGCTGACACCAAGTAGTCCACAAAAAAAAAACTGTGTGTTGTCAGTCTACAAAGGTGCTTAATAGCTGTCTTAATTTCTAGCAGATCAACAGACACTTTTCTGTCCTCGCAGGGTCTTTAAAGGAAAAAACATAGGGAAATGCAAATGCAGTGTGGAGATTCCATTAGGCACCACTTACAGCATAGAGGATACCTGGAGAATCCCACTGGCAGCTGAAGTTGGCTTGTTGTCTCGGAATGTTCTCATTGAAGCTGATGCACCCTGTACTGGGAGGATAATGGTGGGGCATTATACAAATGCCCAGGGTGAAGAATATATTGGTGAGTGGTAGGGTACCCAAAGTAGGTATAGAGGCATATACAGTATATATAAAATAAAAAAACGGTATCGGCAGTGGTAAACCATGCACCAGACAGGGACACCCAGAAGGTTTGTCCAGCACTTTTCTTTTATTCAGCAAGACAGCAAGCAAACACAGTTTCAATCAGGAGGAGTTTTTACATCAAGTGCATAGCATGAAATAAAACATCTGCTCGTCTGAGCCATCAACTGAACTTAGGCCAGTTCCTGACTAACAGGGTGTCCCCTAATGGGTTCCCCAAAGCAAACAGGCAGCTCTTGTACTTTTTTTTTAGACTTCTGTCAGCACTAAGCCTTTTCACTCAGCAGCAGAAAGAGAGAGAGAGAGAGCCCTGAGCATTAGCCTGCTCACCTATCTAATGTGCTGTAGACTTGTGCGCCGTCAAAAAATTTGTTCCGTTTCGGGAAAATATCCGTTATTTCGTAACCGAAATTACATTCGGATTCGTACGAAATACGAATTTTCGTTAGTTTCGGCACATTTTCGTAACTGAAGTTAAAACGCAAAAATACCTTTGTTAATATTGGAGATGATGTGGTAGTTGTTTTTTTATCCGAAATACGAATTCCGTTAACGGATTCCGTATCCGAATTTCGGATTTCGGATTTTACAACTGTGCACAGCTGAGACTTATAGTGCGGTCTGGCTTCCAGGTGAGATATGGACCTGGGAATGGAGGCTTTGTCCTAGCCAAACGTCTACAAAGCCTCCGGGGTTCAGGACCCAGATCAGGACTAACTAAAAAGTAATTTTTTTCCCGCAATTGCCATAAACCGTAGACCCTACAGTCACAAACCTGCCAGCTGGTGCCACACACAATATATATATATATATATTTGTGATCAAAGCACAGGGAAAGCCAGCATGGCTGGGAAAGTCAGCTTGTACCTAAGAGGCTAAATTAATCAAGGTCAGTTCTGGCACTGACGTAATTGCTCATGACAGAAGAGGCAGCTGCCTACAGATGACTGTCTCTATAAGCTTTGGCCATGTTGCTCGGCAGAGAGACACTATGTGGTGGCAGCTTTGACAAGTAAGATTGACTGTTATAACAATCTGGACACCAGAACCATTTTAAATAGGGATTGTGACTGCTAATGCCAGAGAGACAAGGGATTTTGCTTTATGTTTCTGGGTTTTAATTTGTGTAATTCAGTGAAAATCACAAATAAATACATTTTAATTCCAGGTTGCTACACTACACAATGTGGAGAAATCCAAGAGGGTGATCCCATTATAAAACTCTGCACTGGCATATGAATATAGTCGTACTCTCTGTGAGGCAATTTGTGGATCTTGTGTACCAAGCCTCACTTTTTTATATGACAATTTTCTTGTTTTTAGGTTTGCTGCTCCGGGTGTTCTATCAAATATTGTGACTGGGTTGAAATGTGTGACTGGTCACACATTTTAACGTGATCCCGTCCACTTTTTTGGCGGTGGAATATGTGACCGGCCAAAGGTGAAGAATTCCAACGCTTTCTCAGCTGTTCCAGGGCAGATCGGCATGTGCAGGAGAACTGATCTGCGGAACAGCTGATCGGTCCTGAAATGTCACTTCTATCCGACTCTGTGGAATGTGAGATCGCAGTCACAAAGTCACATTTTAGGACCCATCAGCTGTTCCAGGGCAGATAGGTTCTCCTGCACATACCATCTGTGATGCCGATCTGCCCTGGAACATCTGAGAAAGCGTTGGAATTCTTCACCTTTTGCCGGTCACATATTCCACCGCCTGAAAAAGTGGGCGGGATCGCGTTAAAATGTGTGACCACGTGACCGGTCACACATTCCACCGCCGAAAAACTGGGTGGGATTAGGTTAAAATGTGTAATCACGTCACCGGTCACACATTCCAACGCAGTCACAAACTTTGATAGAACACCGGTATTGAAATCCTTGCGTGGAATCATTGAACAGAACACTAACAATGGCTCTGTCTTTGCAGGAACTTTAGAAATCTCAAACGTCGAAATTTTGAACTTTGGATCCTCTCTATATTCAGCAATAACTTTTACAAACACCTCACACTACTCTTCAATAGTATCTTCAAGCATTCACCAGATTTGTGGAGGTGGGATCCGTGCCATCGACAGTGCTAATATTTTATTACACTCAAACGTAATCGTTAACATGACTGGCCATGGAATCCACGTTGATGGAGATAACTATACTGTGGCCAATAACCTCCTCGTTCTAATAAAGCAGCTGGAAGCACGGTCAGAATGGGTTAAAGGCATTAAGATGCATTTCCTTAGTCAAGCCACTTTGTCTGGGAACGCAGTTGCGGGATCGGAAAGGATCGCTTATCATGTTCGAGGTCAAAGCTGTTATTCAGATGAAATCAGTTTCTCAGCCAACGTGGCCCATTCAAGTCTTCATGGTCTTCATATCTACTGGGATGATGGCTTTAAAAACTGTACAAAGATAACTGGATTCATTTGTTACAAGAACTATGATTACGGTTTAGTTTTCTTCCTCGAGGGCAGTGTAAGGGTTGAGAATGTGGCTCTCATCGACAATGGCATCGGCCTTTTTCCAGTAGTCTCCCAAGGACCTGTGGAGTCCTATAAGTACCCACAGCAAGATGTCACTCTTCGGAACTCAGTAATAATTGCATCTAGCCCTGTGTTTGATTGTATCAGGGACAGGATCGAACCTTTGTCTGCTCTTGTCACAATGAGGGACCGAGCCCCGGTATCACCTTTCAGAGGTCGCATTGGCATTCTTTGGCCAACGTTTAGCGGAAGGCCACGGCGATGGCCAATTTACCCATGGCACATGTTGGGAAGTGATGGAGCTGTCCCAGGTCTCATGAAACTACAAGGTAAGTTGGGGATATACCATCGTAACACCTTCACCTTTGTAACTTCTCCAAAATATGCCCCCTCCTCGCCAATTAAACCACAAAGCAGCTCATCCACTCACTTGTTATCTCTCGTCTTGACTTTTGCAGCCTTATTGCCTTATCTCTACACAGGCTATCCCCCCCTTCAGTCTATCATGAATGCAGCTGCTAGACTTATTCATCTAACCAACCGCTCAGTGTCTGCAACCCCCCTCTGTTAATCCCTGCACTGGCTTCCAATTGCCCAAAGGATAATATTCAGAATATTAACCACCACCTACAAAGCCATCCACAACTCTGCCCCAGGTTACATCTCCAACCTTGTCTCAAAATATCACCCTAACCGCCCCCTCTGCTCCTCCGAAGACCTCCTGCTCTCTAGCTCCCTCGTCAACTCCTCCCATGCTAACCTCCAGGATTTCTCCAGAGTCTCTGCCATTCTTTGGAACTCCTTGCCCCAACCTGTCCGTTTATCTCCCACTCTGACTGCCTTTCGGCGATCACTAAAGACTCATCTCTTTAGGGAAGCCTATCCCAACCCAACCTAACCACTGAACTCTTTCTCAAACAATTCATCCCCACACAGCTACCTCCTCATGTATCACTTACCCCTCCCTTTTAGTTTGTAAGCCCTCAGGGGCAGGGCCCTCCTTACCATCTTGTCTTGAATTGTATTGTGATTGTAATGTCTTCCTTATATTGTAAAGCGCTGTGCATACTGTTTGCGCTCTATAAATCCTGTATAATAATAATACCATACCAGACTTTGAGAACCTAAAGCAACCTGTCAATTATGATAAACTTAAAAATGAACGTCTCGGGTAAGAACAAGCAAGGCTCTATGGTATTCAATATGCAGTTTGGTTAGTTATCTTAGTTTTGAGTGTCTTCACTTTCCAAAACAGGTGAATTTAATCTGACAATTGTTACACATTATATGCATACATGTAGACTCCATTCAACTAAATACGCAACTCATTGCGCTAGAATCCATACTCCTACCATTCATAGCCAGAAAAGTGGTTTTATCTTTTTCATCTAAGTTTTCTTCTTCCCTAAATTTGGACCTAAGTTCTCCCCCAACAGATAGTCCCCATCTACATGCCATTCAATGAGAGAGCATGTGGCTAATAAGGATATTGTCATTGGGCAGAGGGATGGTGGTTGGGTGGATGGGGCTTACCTCTCCTAGCAGTGCTTACTGCCAGTTTGAGGAAATCTAGTTACTTTAGTAGAAAAGCAAATCCAGAGGATATTTTGATTAAAGGTGGAGCAGGCAACTTATAGTGCATGTTCTTAGACATAACATGTATTTTTCATACATCATACAACAACATACATCAAAAAGAAATAACATTACTCTCTCATCCCCATTAATTTCTTATACTTAACATAGCATATAGAATTACCTACCAACTAGCCGTAATATACTAAGACCGATAGAATTTCATGGCTCACCTTCAATTTGCAACAACAACATCCTAATATAATATTAGATTAAGCCCAGTCTCACATCAGTATTTTACACCCTAACTTTTTTACTGATAACTGTCATTATTGCCAGGCAGGTACTCCCTATTAGGATGCACCCAGAGCATATCTTTAACATAGACAGACAACATAACTCATAATTCCCTGGCCAGTTAGCATACAGGGGAGGTCAGCAATAATCAAAAAAACAGTAAAAGTAAAACAATTATTTTTAAACACTTAAAATTCCCCTTTTATTGGAAATGGCCCGTCTGTTTCTAATTATGCACCTGGGGTATGGGAACATGGGGAAATGGGAAAATGCAGGGGTGAGGGGAATAAGAAAAGGGGAGTGGGAATGGGGTAGTTAAGACAGTTCAGAGCTGAGATGTTGTACAACCGTTGCAACATAGCTAGAAGAAGTGGATGAAATGATATAATGGTCAAAACAGGTAAAGATTGTTGTCAGACCTCAAGAGAGGAGGGAGGTTATGAGTTATATGAATTCAGTTTTTAGTAGTAGATAATCCTGGACCAGACCTTTGATGTGTTTCACAGTCACAATGAACTGCTTCTTCAGGAAAATGTGGAAGATATCTCTATAGGCAAAAGAATATACGACATTGATCAATAATGAAATATCTTATTACAAAGATCTTAGTCATAATTGACTTACGTGCATACAATGTCAGGAATCACCAACAGACAACACCCACATCTAACCAAACCCTCTTAAGGGCCTGGAAGGCTATACAACGGGATGTGCCAACAAGTTATCTGAAAAGTAATATGCATAGCTATAAGTGTTACAATTTGCACAGTTACCCAGAAGAAAACTCTGTATATGTGGAAATCATAATAAATACACTTATTCTCAACCCAGTCCTATATACTCATTACTCTGTTATGGGGTAATGGATTACAGATCACTCTGCCAGGGGCCTGCTAGATATCTATACCTGCCCTTGCATCTCTTTAGAGCAGCCTTTCTCAACCAGGGTGAGCCTTGAGCCACCCTCAACTGTGTCACCCTGGGATGCTTTCTGACCTCCTCAAAATATTCACATATTGTTATGCCTCCAATGTGAAGAGGGGTTGCTGATGTGATAGAGGAAGCTCCTAGTGTAATAGGGGAACTCCTAGTGTGATGGGGAACTCCTAGTGTGATGGGGAACTCCTAGTGTGATAGGGGAACTCCCTATGTAAAGGGGGGTTCGGATGTGAAGGAGGCTCCTATTATGAAGGTGGGACTGATGTGAAGGGCAAACTCCCTTTTGTTCTGTGTTTTTGCATGGGGTTCCCCCCTAAAATGAATATCAAACCCCCTATCTCGGATAAGGGTCTGGTATGGATTTTGGAAGGGAAATATGTAATTTTGTTAAATTTTTTGTGTTTTAGACTACGGTCCCTTGAAATTTTGCATACTTTTAAAGGGTGGTATGACTGAAAAATGGTTGAGAAACACTGCAGCAGGGCTTCCAGGGATAAATAATACATATATTCCATAAGTATATCCCATATAAAGCATTTTATAAGGACAGGGGCAACTGTAGGTAGTTGTAGGTAGTTTGATAATTCGTATGTACTGCTTTCTAGTTGTCCTGATACCGTAAAAAAATATCTCAATACATAGGAAGCACCAAGATAAATGCCAATCACATACTGTCAGTACATTTATTATATACTTCGAGGCCACATGAAGGCAGTTCAACCACATATGGTACAGAATGGTATCAGACCTCATGCACAATTCATTACCTGTAGGTCATTAGGCATTTTCTTTCACATACATATAGGCGTAAGAGGCATATAACCCCCATGAACAGTAGCTTTTTGCCCTTCCTGTTGGAGTTATGCGGCTAGTTTATATGTAAATAGAACTTAGCAGAGTTCTCCAGTCTGGAAATCCCATTAATGAAATTCCCGTCTGTTTTACTATTCTGTAACCCATCATAGAGATCAAAGGGGTTTCCCAGGTTTTTCAACAACTTGCCCTAATCCAAATCATAATCCATAAGCAAACAGATTTGTTTATCTGGGTTGGCAGCCAGTAGCGCGCCACTTAACGTGAATTCTGTTTTATGGTTTATTTTTCTACTAATATAGAGATTTTATTCCTCGCCTCCACAGATGTTACTTTCTCTGGCTTTAAGAGGAGCTGCTACAGCAATGACGCCGACACGTGTATAATGTCTAATCCAGAAAGCCTGGCCATAATGACCCCGGTGACTGGAAAAAGGTTAAAAGTTCTCCAAATTCCACAGGAAAACATGTTCTACTTCCATCAGATGCCGAGGTTTGACATGAGGAAACTTTATTTTAATAATAACACAATCAGTGACACATGCAGACATACTTAACGAGGCAGAGGAGGAAATAGAAGAGTCTATAAATGGTGGGCTAAGGGGGTTGTACCTGTGGAAAGTTTGGAGTTGTTACTTGGACTTTGTTATTAAGCTAAAGCCCAGGTGTTATTGATGTAACTTTGCTGTTCCTTCTTGTATTTCCTCTTCCTTTCCATCCAGAATCAGCTTGTACCTGGGCACTGGTCTTGATATCTGCTCTTAGGGTGGCTCCTTTGCCTTCTAGGGTCCTCCTGAGGAGCTACCCATGCATGCATGCTCCTGACTGGTGCTATGGATGGGTCTTCTTCCGTCCATAAAAAGAGACACCAATAGCAAGAAGCCACTCCCCTTTCCCCTCTTCCCCCTCCTGCATGTGAGTGACCAGTAGCAGTTGGAGCCTGGGCAGTCCCTAGTGCACTGTGCATGTGTGTGCTCCACTACCCGGAAGTTTGGGGAAACGCATGGCTGTGAACTGGCGGCGGGAATGGGATGAGTTGTGTTTGGCACATACATGGAGCAAACAATGATGACTCTTCCATGTTTTATTTATTGCCTGAAATGCATCCAGTTAGAAAAAGCTGAGTGTTTAGTGCTGCATTAAGCTGTGGTCACGTGATTATCCAGCACCAGCTCCTTCTCCTCCCTGTAGTCTACCTGCTGGGGTCCTGCTTCCGGGTGTCCACATCACTTCCTGTATGACATGGACAGTTTCCACTGGCTGTCCACCAAAGGGGTCCTCTCAGGATGAGTGGTCCCCACCAGCACAAACTGCATCGGCCAGGGACCTGGATGGGGGGACTTAGGTGAGTACAACCTGCTTTACTACCTGTATTGCAGAGATGTACTAAATATGATTTTGTGTGCCCTATGACTGCTGATAGGGCAGTGCCGCCAGTACTTCTGTACCAGGCCCTCTGGCTTTTAAGCAAGGACCCAGGCCTTGCCTGATGTCACTCTGTCTTGCAGCCTGCATCCTGATTCAATTCTTGCAGAAAGAGGCAGGTGCAGGCAGCTCTATGCTGTGAGACATCTGGGTATCAGAGAAAGAGGATTGCCTACAGTGCTCCGTGAGACCCCATTTAAACCTTGGCATTCCATGAATGCACGCCGCGTTTTTCCTGGGGCTACAGGTGTCTAGGGAGCCCCAGAATTTCTGATAGTAGCCATGTTTAGCCCTGCAGGTCCCACCCATTACAGGCTGTATGCAGAATAATACCCTGCACAAGGTGAGAAAGCAGCAGTGAGCAGTCTTTATTACAGGAGAGGGCAGAGAAAAGACCAGTCACTCTGCACAAGGAGAGAGAGCAGCAGTGAGCGGTCTTTATTACAGGAGAGGGCAGAGACAAGACCAGGCACTCTGCACAAGGAGAGAGAGCAGCAGTGAGCGGTCTTTATTACAGGAGAGGGCAGAGACAAGACCAGGCACTCTGCACAAGGAGAGAGAGCAGCAGTGAGCGGTCTTTATTACAGGAGAGGGCAGAGACAAGACCAGGCACTCTGCACAAGGAGAGAGAGCAGCAGTGAGCGGTCTTTATTACAGGAAGCTCCAAGTCTCACACTGGATTACTGCACAGATCTGGAAGAAATACACAAAGTCTCAAGGAATAATACACATGACTCTTGTATGAGGACGAAATTTGCTCAGCTTCATCTTACATTTTGCCTTGACAGATCTGCAGAATGTCCAGCATCCATGGAATGCTCTGGGACTCAGATGGCCTTATTCAAGGACCTGGATGGAACTTTTACCGGCCTGTCTCCCCCAGTTTCTGCCTTCCCCAAGTCAGAACTCGACATCCTGCAACCTTGTTTCAACTTTGGTAAGTCAAAACTAAAATACAAAATTGGATTTTGAAGGGTTCACACATCTCAGCAATGTCAGGGGTGATAGGGGTGATACGGTTATTCAAAGCTTAAACATGTAGGACAGTAAGGCCTGACTTGACCCTTAGCACCTTCCCCACGCTTTTAAAGTGACACTGTCAGCCACCCAAAAGATCTCAATGGCAGTTTCCAGCAGTGGAAGAGGTACTGTATTATATTCACCTCTCTAACAGTTGCTGAAGGATATATTTTCGGTTCCAGTTGCAACAGGTTTAACGTTCCATTTCTGGTTCAACTTTAATTTTCAGACAGCTGACCTCACATTTTCATCAAGCACACTTTGATATGAGGCACAAGTCATAGTAGTCATAGTAGCCAGTCCGGGACAAATTAACAGTTGTTTCAAATCCATGCCACTTGCAGATTATTTTTTTTCCTTACAGTGGAATGATTGATTCCAATCATTGGAGGCAATCTTTTTAAATCCCTTAGGCATCCACAACCTTTTTCCTGAGGGCCGTAAAGACCTCTTCTGATTTGGACATGATGACACCAAATACATGTGAGGAAAATAATCCACAAGTAGAAAAGATTTCAAACTCTAGATATCTAAAACGAAATCACAGACACAAGGCTCCACCTCATATATTGACCCTGCACTCATCCGCTACCATGCATGGTATAAATGCTCCTTCTAATCAGTGGTAATCAGTGGCATCACAAGGGGGGTGAGGCCCACGCCCGGGGTGACATCATTGGAGGGGTAAATGGAGAAGCCTTCCGCACACCTTACAGCAGTCCAGGTCTATATAGAATGTGGTGCTTGCAGGCTTGCTGTTACTGTGACATTTATGTCCAATTAAATGGACATGTTTGATGATATCTTTGAGTGCTGGTGATTTGTATTTATAATCATTGGAGGGGTGACACCAAAATGACTGACAGTCATTTTGGTGTCACCCCCTCTAAGAAGTCGGGCACTCCGTCATGGACCGAGAGCCCGACAGTATCAGGAGAGAGGAGGGGACCCGGCAGAATACCTCATCTTGCCGGGTAAACGTCCCCTCCTCTCTCTGCCGCCATCCACCACAAAGATGGCTGCCGGAAGGCGTCAATTGGATGGTCGCGCATGCACGATGACATCACGCACATGTGCGAACATGTCACGGCGGGGTGTCACCCGGTCTCCGCTCCGGGTGACACCCGGCTGTGGGACGCCTCTGCTTCTAATGACTACAGTGATAGCAGAAAGGGAGTACTGGCACAAGTGTCTACTCCAGCAATACTTTATTGAAAGGTTATCTTGTCCAAATAGCAATAATAGCTTACAGGTTTCAGCCTACACAGCCTTAGTCCTTAATGGCTAATTGTGAGTCTGGGCTTGATGTGAACCCAATTCGCCCAAGCATGCTCAAATCTGTGAGTGCCAACCCATCCTCCTGACCCAATTGGTTGCGCAGAGATGCCCATTTGTGATGTATAGCTGGGGGTGGGGAATGCCACTGCCAGCATTAATTGCGCCAAGAGGGGGGGGTGGTGGTCACAGTTTTCAGTGAGTTTGATCAAACTAGGTGTGCACCAAGCCTTTGTTGGCCGTTATTGATGACTAAGGCTATTACTTTCAGTGTACTTTTTCTTATGACTACTTTTAACCTAAATGGTCTTATCATTGATCACTAAGGCTGTTTTGGCTAAAACACATAAGCTGTTGCTACTGATGACCTTTGAATAAATTATTTCTGGAGGAGACACTTGATCCGGTATATACAGTATCTGAGATGCAAGATATCTGAGGTTTAAGTAAGACTAGTTCCGCCTACATAGTGTAAGGTTCTAATTAGAAGAAGGTTCTAATTTCATGGATTTGAAGTGGTGGTAAATGTAGGGGTGTACTTACTTTCTTCACGTGACAAATCTGCATTTTAGTTCATTTCGATTATGAGGATCATTACACCATGTCAGGTTTATGTGTCAGGCTATATCACCTGTACCTGTAGGCACTGTTTAAATGAAGATCAATTGTTTGCTTGTTTAAATATGTCGAAAAAGTCAATTATTTCCAGGGGGTGTACTTACTTTTTTCACAAGACCGTAAATGTGCAATAGAAATTGATTCATGGTTAGTGTTTTACCTGCCATTTTGTATTTGTGAGGTCCAACCATTCTTGCAATACACACACACACCTCTCCTGGTTAGTAAGGTCATTCGGATAGTGTCTGGTTTAGGTTGGTCACCTACTTGCTTATTGGACTTGGCTGACTGCAAGGCCAAGTAACCCCGACTTCCCACCTAAATTACACACCAAACACCAGTAATTTCAAAGAACGTAATATAATAACATTTATTGGAAGATATAATCAGTACCAAAAAATTAGGCTTTTTTTGGTACTGATAAAATTAAGCATTGAGGGGGATGGGGCAAATTAGATTAATGGGTGCATGTTCCATAGGAGGGTAAACTATTTGGTAACATTTCTTGGAAGGTTGAATGGCCCCAGCGATGTAAAAATTCACAATAATAACAGAACATCCTAAAATAACATTACTTGTGACCAATGAACGAAATCTCACAGAGAATAGTGCAATGTAGCAAGAAAAAATACTTTGGTCCCTGATGTATGCCAAAAACACCACTCACCACTTACGGGGGATGTACCATGACCAGTTATTCACTGTACCAGCCACCGGCCGTCCATATTCTGGCCTGAGTGGGTACCCTCACCAACAGTTGCCCAAGTTCTTACTGGCTACTAAGCTAGAGAGCCCTGTAGCTCCACCATTGGCACTTCCCTACTACTCCGCCCCTTTTCACTTTGTGGAGAGCCAGTTCTTCATTGTCGATGTATGGCACCGCCAGGTAAGTCAGCCATATTTCCCAAAGCACAAATACCACCTATAATGTAGAAAAAAGAATACCCATAACCCTGACCAGAAAGAATGTATCCCTCCTCCCCAAACCCCACTCTTGCAGAAACTAACCCTTTGGAGACATAAAAAACAACAAGCCGAAATACTATCGGGGAGGGTGGGCGGGTCTCACTCCTTTTCTCTCCCACCTAAAATGGTTCCCTACTTCACACTATGCAGCAAGATGGCCCCCTTAAGTCTACTCCCGAGCTAAACCCACTTCAAGTCTGAAGCTGACAGCTTTTTCTCCATTCAGTGCGGTTTCTATCAGGTTACAGAGTTACGGGGAAATCCTCCCCACAGTGTAACCTGTCATGGACGGAGCACGCCTGTTAATTACAGGCAGCACTGCATCCAGCTTTTGACAGGTAGTTAGGTTACACAGCAGCGGGCTTCCCCACTGCTTGTGTAACCTAACTTGGTGAGGCAAGAGCATCACAGCCTCTACTCTGTGTTAGAGGCATGAGCTCTGTGGATGGCATAGGTCCAATCAAAACAAAGAAAAAAAACCAGTGAGGACTCATCTCGATGCCTCATCTCGATGCCTCACCAGTGACAAGCAAGTGAGGGACAGGGAGTCTCATCCCTTCCTCCTCCCCACAAAAGTTGGTTATCAAGCTGCGGCGGGGCTTCGGTGGAATGGGGGCAGAGCCTTGGCGGGGCGGAGCTTCAGCAGGCTGGGGGATGCCTTACCCAGCACAGAAGGCACGTCACGTCACTGCACTACATTAGCTTGCCCCCCTTTTCAAACACAACAGAAAAAAAACCCCTTCCATCCAATACTCAGCTAACTCCTCCTTGTTCAGGTCTGACCTGAATCAGTCATGTCCCTTCCTCCGCCTATCGCTCCGCAGGTAACTAAGATGACGATGCAGATTCACTGTCCAATGAGGAAGCTTGATGGGGATATAAGGCTTCATTAACACTTGAACTGAGCAGCATCTAAGGGATTTTTTGGGGCAGTTATTTTGAGTGTTTGTACGAACATTTTTGCAGAGACTTTGTGTTATTTTTAAGCCAATGCCAAGATAGTTACTAGGCATAAAATGCTTGAAAAATGCACATTACGGGTATCCCCATTGAAGTCTATTGAGGTCATAGCTCTTGATCTTGCTCCAAAAGAAGCTCATGTACTTTTTTTTTTAGCTAAAGGCATTTTGATACAAAAAACCATGGTGCAGGAAACAAGACTGTGAACCTGCTCAACCTGTAGCCCAATATTCCGTGTCAGCTGAGAAAATGCTGGTGCTCAGGAAAGGTTTTGTCCACCACAGTACACACAAATATAATACAAGTTCCAGCACTCAGCTTAATGCTCCGATCCTTTATTACGTGTCAAAAAGAACATCTCACATTACAAAAACCGCCTCCATCCTCGCTGTGGTTTTTGGGGTCCTTCCGCTCTTCTGGGGTGCCCGGGACCACGGCGGCATAGTTCAGGATGGAGAGCGGGGAGTAGAACGGAGAACTACTCAGGACAGGAGAGCTGCACTCAACGCCTTCCCATCTCAGCTGTCACAGGAGAGCCAGCACAGTGCTGTGCTTAAACTCCTGCTATCACACAGGGACTTGTTAGCTCTTGTGTGATAGCAATAAAGTTAAGTTATAAAATAAAATAAAAATTAATAGGGTTATTCACTAAGCTGCCGTAGTCAGCCGAGTGAATAACCGAGCCGAAGTGAAGTGGGCTAAACAACGTTCGACTAATCACTTGGGCTCAGTACGACTGATTTAAGCCATACATCGGCTGCACTTCGGTGCTCTGAATGTTCGGCTGAGTCAAAGTGCAGAAGGACTTTGACTCAGCCCATCCAACATCTGGATCAGCTGAGCCGAAGCCCCGGCAGCTCACTCGCTGCTGTTTGCTCCTATCTTCATAGGGGCCGAGCGGCAGTAAGTGAATAGCCGAATGGCGCCGAGCGGCATTCGGCTCGGCTATTCTGCTCGGTACCTCTGTGGAAAATCAATAAAAAACAAGTTGTAAAAAAATGTTTAAAATGTAAATACATATTAAAGGAGAACTATGGGTGTAACGAGCCCCTGCTCGCTCGGTTCCACTCTCCCGGCACTACTCAGATTTCAGACCGC